AAGAAAGAAAATGAGAAACTGCCAGTTCATGAAGACGAGGCGAGCACTGCGTTCGGGGGGTGGCCACAGCTCGTCAGAGTTCACGGCGATTTCAAAGGGACCCAGATTTTTACACGTTATTTTTCTACGGGATTTTTTAATCGAAATCACGCCAACGAAGGCGCGCGTTACGTTCTATCGTCGCGCTATCAGAATTTCTCCATTGATCCGGTAATTATCGAATGTCCGCGTCGCATAAGTAGCGAGAAGATCGTCCGCGAGCGAGTAAGCCGCCGCGTGTTTCGCTCGGTGTTAATAGATTGATCGTTTTTTAAGGAATATCCGCGTTATTTCCTCCTTAGCCGTTCGAAACGTTCAGTGACCCGTCTCCTAATTGCAAATTCGCCGCTCCCAAAGACTTCAACGCGCAGGCACGCCGTGCCCGCGGCGCAACGAGGGATCAACAATTCTTCCGATTAATTAAACCGTTTCCTTCGCGCGATCGAAATGGGCCCCGATTTCGAGAACCTTCGAGACACTTCCTTAAACCGACAGCGAAGAACGAAAATGAGCGAATGGTCGTTAAAAATCTCGTCTTTCATCGATCAAGAGTTTTGATGGGAGCGTTTTAGATTTTGAGAAATTATCGAGATTCTATGGAAACCGACAACTGTGTCGTTACCCGACCCCAGGTCGGTCATCCACGGTTACATACGTTGATCTTTGTTTGAGAATTTTCGAATTATATATCGCGTGATCGGCTGTATCGTCGGATCTTCGTCGTGACGTACAAGTCCCGACATTGGAAGTCGATTAATTATTACAGTTACTATTGATATTATTGTCGCCATGAATACTAAATATGTAACACAGTACAGTATTTCCACGGTAAGCAAACTGTGAATTATAATCGAAATAAGAGTATCAATAATCGCTAAGACTACAGTTATCCAAATATTCCAGACCTATTTTTCGCATTACCTTCCTTTGTCTTTCGTTTCTCTTAGCCATCGCGGAAACGGTCCTAAAGTCGTCGGTTCGCTTGTTCAATATGCAATCAGTGGAGAAGGAATTAGAAACATTCTGTGAACCAAACCACGAGCGGTAATAGAGGTTGTAAACGCGTATTATATGCAATTGCGTATCCGGTACCGTTGATCGTTCGAGTACATAATTATCCAGACTATTGCGGCAATCAAGTTTTTATTTGATATCTGTTCCGTTGCATCTCGTCGTCGGTCGATTGGAATCGACAATGTTTGTTGTTGCTAATTAATTAACGCGTTCGATTCGATATTTTGTTAAACTTGTTTCTAAAAATCGTGTTGCATCCAGTGTACGATCATTGTTCGGCAATAAATTGTGATGTGTATAATCATATAATCGTATTTATTCCAATGCACCCACGTTCCCTGCGAAATGGTACTGACAATAAACCTAGACCGAAGAAGAACTATAACTCCAGCTATAACAATATCCTCTTATGTTTACGACCAAAACGAAACGCAGCGCATCGAATCGTATCCCTTGGAGATCCGAAGAATATCCGATCCAACCATTCCTCCTCGCGTCATCGCCATTTTCGCGTCCGACCGCTATCGGCGCAACTCTAACAAACAATTCCAAAAACCAAGATTGCCGACCATTCGCCAAGATAAGCATACCGCGATGGCCGAAATGAGTTTCGAGAAGCGTTCAGCGGTTCCCTCGTCTTCCTTTGAAGTTCATCCGCATCGTTTACCAAGGTACTAGAATCCTTAAGCGCTTCCGCTTCAAACCCATCCCTTCCGAGTTCACCCGAGACCCATAGAGACATCATCGGAGACGCTGACGAATTTCTCCCACGGAGGTTAATGGTCTTTTTCGGTTCGCCTCATTGACGAATGGTCCTCCGAGCGAGTCGGGGGCGCAGGGTCATCAGAAGGGGGCACCGAGAAGAAACCAAGGGAGGCAGAAGTCAAGGCGAGAAAGGGACACAAATCATTCGTTCGGAGCGAAGTGTACACGGGGAGCCAAGGGATGACCTTCGTTACCTTCGTCCCGCAGAGGTGGCAAGGAGCGTGGGTAAAAAAAGGCGAGGAGGGTACGGAGGATGCCTACCTTCGGCAACCTACATTAGGTACGGGAGACGCGGAGTCAGCCAGCGGCCGCGGGCCACGGAAACTCGACCGCTGATTGGCTACAACCTCCCCCAGGGAAGTGCGTCGGAGAGCGTCGGAAGTGAAGAGGGGTGAGCTTGCCTAGAACGAGCCGGTTGCACACGAGGCGAAAAGGTCGGCAAGGAAAGGGCTCCTCGTCCAGCTGGCAAGGACTCGTCTGGACTCGATTCGGCGGCATCGTGTGCAACCGGCTGGCTCCCTCGGTATACCCGCTTCTCCCATTCTTTCTCTCTCAGACTCCCTCTCCGTCTCTTTCTCCCTCCGAAGGAACAGCCCGTCCTTCTCGTCCAGCAACGCTCCTCGAGATTTCGGTCTCCCCCTTTGCTTCTCGCGCCCTGTTGCCCCGGTCGGTACCGCGGTAATGCCGCCACCCCTTCGATCCCTCCACACAACCTCCCGTCCCATCGGCGGCCTGCCCTTGTAGCCCTCCATCCCACCGAGCTATCCTTTTACCGGCTTCCGCACGCGTGTACGCGTGTTCGCCTTGCCGCGCGACTGCGACGGACGTATAATTCCGGCCGGAGGGGCAGCGGGGCGAGGGTTCGACGGGGGCGGGAAAGAGAGAGAAGGAAGAAGGGGATGATAGATAAGGCGGCAACGGGGAGTGGGCAGCGAAGGGGGACCGAGACGACGAATCTCGCGCGCTACGAACGAGGGAGGAGGACGGACAAACGGTCGGAGGGGTAACGCGCGAGGGGAGAGACAGAGAGCGAGCGG